GAGTTAAGAAGTCAGCTCTGCTGTCTAGAGACAGCCTCCAATGAATCAGGGCTTCAGGCCTATACAAAGACAAGTGTGTGAAGCTATTCTTTGTGCCAACCTGGGCCACTGTATTTCCATACACCAGACCCTGTAAAGTCAGACCTCCAAAGAGGTGTTCAACATTAGTTCACATCTGGGTACTGCACAAGTGGGACATCCTCTCTGATCACTGACTCTGGCATTGCAGTTCTAAGTAACGGCTAAAGCCCAACTCCAGCTACACAGACTGACCTCTAACTACAACTCACAAAGCTTTGGACTCTCTCCAAGGTAATCTCTCCTGGCCAAACGGCAGCTGCCTACCCCGCCTACTCTTTCTCATAAATTTGATGCACTTCTTTTCACTTCCAAAGGAAGGTAAATCACATCTAGGAGTCCCAAAGCCATTGAAGAAGAGTTTCCTATCTGCTCTCTGATAACATGGCAGATTAAACTACCGGTTCCTATCTCATTCATAGCCCTCCAGGCAGCTTGGGCTGTTGACAGGGCAGCAGCTGCAGAGTTTGCTATCCCTCAAACACCCTTGGGAAGCAAATCACCCCCCTCTCAGCAGGAGATGGGGCAACCTCTACCATCATCTTAGCTATGTGCAATCCAGATCACCACCCTGAGGTGTGGAGTTGCCCCTGAAGGCCTCTTACACCCCCACCAGCTACAGTTGTTGCCTGATGAATTGTTCCCACAGATGTTGTTGTTGCATAAGGTGAACACAGTGTCAGCCTGTGGCTGTGGGAACTCCATCTCTGCAGCCAAAAAACCTAACTGGCCTTGGGTGCAGGAGGCAAGACCAAGCATTTCTGGTGTTGCTGCCACAGGACAGAAAACATAATGTTGTCTCCAGCAGTAATACTTTCTCTAGCTGGCACAGCTCCGTGGTGGAACGATCAGAGAGTAATTAATGCCAAGCACAATACCTTTGCCCACCTCTCAGCTTCTGTTCCTCTCACAGGTAGTAGCCTTCCCTACCTGTCCCTTTTTAGCAGACACCTGGCTGGGATGGAGCTTCATCCATTGATGTCTGGGGCATGCCTATGGCCTGACAGGAGACCTTGAAAGCAGACTGGTGACTCAGGGGGGGTGGCAGAAATTTGATGAGCCAACTCTGGCCTGGCCTTGCTGTCCCCTTCCTCCCTCTGATGTCTTCAGCAACCCAGCAGACCAAAAAAAGCCAAGGTAAAACAAACAGAGTGAAATGCAAGAAGCAGCACATGCCATGCGTCTTGCTCTGTATCACTCCTGGTCTCAGGAGTAGAGGGAAGGCTTGAAAAATTCAGACACTTCATTACAAACAACAAGACAAAGATTTATTTCCTTTTCAAGTGGAGTAGAAGAGTAAATACAAAAAAACCTCCAATATAGAATATAATATTCTCCTAGGCTATACAAAGTCTGCCCAGGGTCTGACTGTACCAGAACTCGTGCAGAACAGAAACCAAGATGCTCTGTCCTTCGAGAAATGAGCTCTTTCAAGGCCCTTCTCTCTTCTTGTCAGTGCTCACAGTTAAGAGTTTCCTACAGGTTTACAATCCAAATTGATTGGACTCTTCTCCCAGAAGTCAAAACATTAGTTTGAAACTTAGACTAACTTTGCTAAAATGAAGGCCCTCAGATATTTACAATAAAACTTCCAGAAATCAGAATTTGTCCTTATTCTTGATGGTGCCTGAGAATTACAAGCAAAGTGACAGCCAAAAATACATTGAGATCCAAATGTTTAACATATCCCCATGGCACAAGTGTACATTGAGATCCAATTTTCTAACATATCCCCTCAGCATATCCCCATATCCTCGCAGAGAGACCCAACCCCACGGCTACCCAACAAGCTTATCTTCTTCTGTCAGTGGCCACGCCACTGCATGACACACATAGGCACATGCACAACCACAGGATCAGCACATCCTGCTGCCACAAGGCAGAACCCAGACAGACCCCACAGAGCAATGTTCAGCGCACCCTTTGTGTCTGAGCCTACACGACAGCTCAGGAACATTGCAACAGCCACAAACCACAACAGTGCTGCTGAAAAGGGATCTCTGGCATCTTCAGGCCCACTGGAAGAGGGAGGCTTGAGCATTGCCAGCACTAGCAAAAGACAGGTATAGCTTTGTCTGTCTTCACCTTGAAAAACTCAAAGCACAGACCCCACACAGATGCAGAGTCTCTTGAACAGTCCTTGTAGCTCTTCATGGTTTTGCCCAGGGTTTCCAGCTGTTTGTGACAGAATTTTAAGCAGTTTTTGGCCATGTCTCAGGTTCTTGATGCAACAAGTTCATGACTGCATCTGCTGCAAAAAGTACATCTTCTAGGTATGCCTGGTTTCTCTAGGTAGGTATAAAAGGTCTGCAGAGAAACAAGAACAAGCATCTAGACCTTTTCTGCAAACTACACAATCTGTGCATTCTGAGTCATCAAGATCTATCAGGCATGTCCTCAAGACATTGAGTTTTGCTCCCTGAACTGGCCACAGATGCTACCTGAGGTCAGAAGCAGCTTACACAAGACCTGTATCATCACTGGTGACCTTTTTTTTTTTTTAAGCTGAACTTCAGACTAGCACCAGGGCTGGACCAGTGAACAAAACTAGGCTGAAGAGAAACAAGGGCCAGAAGGCCGCTAGGATCAGGAAAATTATCTGATCCACATTGATAACTGCTTCTACAGGAAGGAAAGAAAACATTAAAAGGCAGGACAGTTCTCCCAGCTACTCCCAAACCATCAAGAGGACAGCATGACTTGCTAGCAAAGGGACACAGTCCAGTCCTTGCAGGCAGTGAAAGCAGAGAGGCAGCAGGCAGCTGTCAAAAAACCTGGAAGCTGGCACAGCTAGATGTACAGCTCCTCTTCCAGATGGTGAAGGGAGAAGATGGGAGAGGAGCTAGCATGGCTGCTGAGAAGACCTGCCCCAGGATGAGGCAACCAAGCTGCAGACAAGACTCTGCTCCCTCCAGGATGAAGCAGCTTCTGGATGTGCCAGGACCAGGAAGGACATTGAAAGATAAAACACAGCTCTTCAGAAGGGAAAGGAAAGGAACAATCTGATCCACCTCACCACACCAAAGACTTGAATGGTGCCTACACTTGTTGTCTGTACCCCCCACTGGTGGCAACGCAACCTCCCCAGCTCCATGTGCAGCAGTTTCCTGCGGTACCACCAACAGGTCTAGATGGACAAGGGGCAGCAATATCAGGCCAGGCCCAGCCTCCCAGCCCATGAGGTGACTCACCCACCACATGTCACCTTTAGCACTCTGAGGCCTTGAGTCCAAAACTCATCTCCTACCTCAGAGCCGCATGGAAGAGGCATACAACTTTTCCTGTCCACCTACTGCAAAGGGTTCCTCCATGCCAAACTGTGCTGTGGGGACACTCAGCCACCTGGATACTCATGTCCCACCCGGATACTTGGACCAAAGCACCCAGAGAAGGCAAGGAAGTTGCCTCTATACAAATTTCATCCTGCTGAGGACCTCATCTGAAAAATGTTCTGTGGAGCAGAAGGCACAGGTGTCTTCATGGGATCAAGAGCTCTTTGCATCAGTGCACAGTAGCAGGACAAGATACAGTAGACATGAAATGCGACTAGAGAGGTGATGAATGGATGGATACAAGGAGAAACTTCTCCCCCCTAGGGACAGTCAAGCTGCCCAAACAGACTGTGCTGTGTCTCTATTCTTGTAGGTGACCAAGACTCAACTAGACAGGCCAGAGCAACCAGATTTGAGTCATTGGTGACCCTTATTTATTTGAGTACGAGGTTGGAACAGAAACTTCTAACCTGAGTTATTCATAAGTTATGCATATAATCTGTACCCTTCTCTATTGTGAGACCCCGCTGTGTGTGTACCCTCTCTGTTCTTCCAAAACTCTCGCTGACGCTCTGGCTGCACTTTCCACTTCCCTCTCCCCACGTAAGGCACCATCTCACTACAGGAGCTTCTCACCAACCTCCTCCCAGCTCTGGTTACACAGGCTCCCCACCTCCCCAGGAAAAAGGAGCTGTATAAGCAGACCTGGACAGCAGGGCTATGTCAGTTCCCTCTCCATCCACAGCCCCGGGCAGAGCCCTGGGCAAACACCACTGCTCCAGGCCCCTTCCAGAGGTAGTGGAATATGTTGGGAGGTGTTTGCTTGAGTTTCCCCATGGATCTATTTTCAAGCCTTTACCTCTTATAGATGTTCCTGTTAGTTTTTCCCTCCCCACATTGTCTTCTGGTTTCTTTTCCATCCTAAGAAAACTTGAATGTGGAGCAATTGCAGATGAAAAGGCGTCATGTCCTGCCTCTTGTGTTTCAGGAAAGAAAGTTTTCCCCCACAGATGCCAATTTCTCTAGGCTACAGACAGAGCTGGGCTCACCTTAAGATCAAAGTAATTTAGGATGTAAGTACCTCCATAGACTTCAGGATCATGTCTCCACTCAAAGCACATCCAAATTTAATGCTGGATCCAATTCTGGAGATAGATCAGGCTCTGTTCAACCAAGTTGGAAAGCCCTCCAAGGGCAGAGGTCCCACAGCTTCGCTGTGTCCCTCTTCCAGGGGCTGAGCATGCTCATGGTAGAAGTTTTTATAGTTCCAATCCCACCACTCTCCCACCCCTACAGCAGAGAGCATCACCCCTGGAGAGATCTGACTTGCTGTGTTTGCCTGCAACTCCAGCATCCAAATCTTCTCCAGCCCTGGCCACCTTGCTGGTGCAAAGCCTGGCACTAATGCAGGAGCCCTGTGCAACATCAGGGACATGCCACCTCATCAGTGCCATGCATCCCACTTTTACATATTTGCCTGCACGAGGCCGGGGAACGCTTCCTCCTGCCTCCTTCCTACCCTGCACCAACAGACGTCTTGTTCTGTAAATAAAATCAACAGCAGAGATGTTTTTAAAAGTGAGATCTTCCCAGGTAGACCAGGAAGGGCCCTACCAGGGTGTGCTGGGAGAGCGGGAGCTTGGCAGGAGGCTTTGATCACCTGCCCCAGGAAAGGCTGTGGAAGAGGAATGGTCTGTTTGCACCGTTCAGGCACTTGGGAATCCCTACGGCTTTTTCTAGCGAGAGTGGACAGGGCTGGACAGGGCACCCCAGGTCTCTGACAGCGCCACTCCTCGCCAGGAGGTTCGGGCAGATGGCATCTTCCCGGGGTCCAGTGGCGCCGGGCGAGCCCCGCAGCCCGCCTTCTCCCGGGCTCCGCTCCGCGCTGCCGGGCGTCACCCGGGATGGGTCAGAGCGCCGGGACGAACCTGTCGGGGCCGCCGGGATAGGCGCCGTGCCGGGGTCCGGGCTCTGCGGTGCCCAGGTGTCCTCCGGCGCCGTAGCCGTGGGGCAGGGGCGGGTAGGGCGCGGGGGAGCGGCGGCCGTAGACCCCGGCGGGGGCGGGCGGCGAGGCGGGCAGCACGATGCGCCCCGACGGCGCGTACAGCGGTCCGTGACCTCCCGGCGCGTAGGGCCCGGGGGCGGTGGGTAGCGGGCCGTAGGCGTGGGGCAGGGTGGCGGAGGCGCAGCCCTGTGCGGGGAAGGCGGCGGCGAAGGCGCAGGAGGCGGCGGGAGCCGGGGGCAGGTCGGCGGGGGGCGGCGGGGCGGGCAGCGGGAGGAGGCGGCACGGAGCGTCGGGGTGCTCGGCGAGGAAAGCCGGGTAGGTGGAGAGGTCGCTGCGCTTGAAGCGTTTTCTGCGGCGGAGGAAAGACCCGCTCTCGAACATATCGCGGGCGTGGGGGTCCAGCGTCCAATAGTTGCCCTTGCCGGGGCGGCCGGGCTCCCGTGGCACCTTGACGAAGCAGTCATTGAGGGTGAGGTTGTGGCGGATGCTGTTCTGCCACTTGCGGGGGCTGTCGCGGTAGAAGGGGAAGCGCTCGGTGATGAAGCGGTAGATGCCGCCCAGCGTCAGTCGCCGCTCGGGCGCCTGCCCGATGGCCATGGCGATGAGAGCGATGTAGCTGTACGGCGGCTTGCCCCGCTCCGCCGGACGCTTGCGGCGCCGCCGCCCGCCCCGCGACCCCGCCACCGCCGCCGCCTCCTCCTCTCCTGGCGGCGCCGCGTCCGCCTTCAGCGGCGGGGGCAGCGGCGGGGGGCCCGGCGGCAGCCGGCTCTCGGCGGTCATGCGGCCGTCGGGGCGGCCCCGTGCCGGGCCGGACCGAGCCGAGCCGAGCCCAGCCGAGCAGGCGAAGCGCCGCCGCCGCGGCTTTTATGCGGCGGTGTCCGGCGGCTCCGCGCCCGGGCGGCCGGCACTCCCCCTGCTACGCCCCGCCGCCCGGGAGGCGCGGGCAGGGCCGGGCGTGCCGCCGCCGCCGCAGGTGGGGGCAGCGCCCTGCCCGGCACCCCTCGCCCGCCCCCTCCGCTCGTCCCCGTCCCCAGCGCCGTCGGGGCTCCGCTGTCCCGCGGCCGTCGGGAGCGCACAGCGCCGGGGGACCGGCGCGCACCGAGCGGGGTGGGAGCAGCTCCAGGGTCCCGGTGCAGGTGTCTGGGCACGGGCACTGTCCGCGCCTCCCCGCGGGGCCCGGCGCCGCCGGGGTCGGCTCAGCTGGCGGCCGCGGGGAGAGCCGAGGTGCGGTGAGCGGCCGCCGCTGTCGGAGGAGATGCTTGCTGCCGGTCCGTGGCATGGGGCAGTAGGCTCAGGGCAGTGACGCCCAGAGAACCCCACACTCCTTTGCGGAAATCAAGCGGTCGAAACAAATTAAACCACACAGTGACAGATCTACGTGGGGAGAGATAGTAAGTGTGGGCTTTGGCAGTGTAGTTTGCATGCAGAACTGCTATAAAGAATGCACTGAAACTGGTCCCCAGCAACGATTTGGTACAGGGCTGGGCTCCCATGCAACTGACTTACCCCTGATCTGACCTGCTTGTCCCCAATCCCTGTGCCACAGGACCTCACAGGTACATGATCCAACCAGGAAGGATGCTAGGCTCTCCACAGGCTGCTGCTGGGACATACTTACCTGCCAGCTCCCTCCTGTTTGCTGAGATACTTGGGGCTGAATGTCAGACCGCAGCTGAGTGCGCCAGCTGGTGAGGAACGCTTGCCCAGGACTTGAACTCCTGTGGCACAGACGTACAGGCCTGGGGACAGCACAGGCTCCTCACCTGCTGGCATGGTGATCCCTGTGAGCCAGAATATAAAGGAGATGGCAAGAGGTCCTGGAGGTGGGCTGGAATGTGTGTGCAGGTGTGCACAGGGATGTGTGTGCTTGGAAGGGTGAGCATGCACAAGCACGTAGTGTACAATGGCACTGTTATGTGGGGTTTAGGATGTGAATGAGAGTTCATGATTGTATATTGACAGGTGAGTGTGCATAGAAACAAATGGCAGCACACACAGGTGTGTGGCTGGACCCGAGCCTTGCATGTGGACACTTAGACAGAAACAGATATGGGCAGATGTGCGTGCAGGAAGCTGGATGTGCATAGGTGTGCAGGTGCTGTGCATGGCTGTACAGCTGATCCCACCCATGTCTTGGTGTCTCCTGCCAGTTCTTCCAGAACTCAGGTCACCAGTGCACTGCCGAGTCTATATCTCTACGGGAAAAGCTTTCCCAAAGCCCTCTTGGTCATTGCACAAATGATGTTTAAGGGAGCAAGGGGAGGTGGGAGATGGTCATCCTAGTGAAACACAGCTCTGTTAGAGGTTTACAGCAAAGTTACTTGGAGAAAAATCTGTGTGTGTGTGGAGAAAAATCTGTGTGTGTGTGAAGCTCCGTTTCAATGAAGCAAACAAACCCCAGCCCTGGTTTCTAGGAAATACAAAGTCACTGGCCACTTGCTTTTTTGTGCGGCATCCCAGCAACGTGGGAGGTAGCAGAATAAACTATGGAGCTAGCAGAATAAACCTTGAAGTGGCACTTGCTGAGGACCCACATGTGCAGTCCCAATATCTGGATGCAGACGTGGGCAGTATTTCAAACCACATTCTTCAGAGTTTGTGCCAAAAGAGTTTGTGTCAACCTCCTGTACTGACACCAATGTTCTTGAAGTACACAGAAGACTGGGGTCGTGTTACCCTGTAGGAACCAAAAACCTGACTGTCAGCGTGAGAGGAGAGTAGTGAAGCTGCCCTGCCAGCAATGAATGCTCTGCCTTCTGACTCATGGGGAGTTGTAGCTGGGAATGGATTTTCCTAGCAGATGTTCCAAAGGCAGTGCAGTAGTTCAGTCACCTCTGGGGCTCTCTCTGTGCCATGCCAATTCCATGCCTCCAGAGGGCAAAGTCAGATCGTGCTTCGCTTTGCACTTGTAGAGGATGGGGAATGAAAGAGGTGTGTGCTGAGGAGGGATGGTGTGCTAAACAGCTGCTTTTGCCCTCCCTGCTGGTGATGAAAATCCTCTTCCAAGTAAGCACTTTCCTTGGCAGGGCCCAAAGCAGAGTGAAATGGATACCCAAACAGCATGTGCTGGCTCTTGTCACTTCTTGTTTCCTCATCACGCAGATTTAAGCTGTGGTGCCAGTGTTTGTGGGTGAAGTGGGAGTCGTATAACATGGTGACCTGGAGACTATCCTCAGTTTGACATTATCATAAGCCTATTTAAAAACATTTTCAGCTCTCCACTCCAGGCGCAGGAGTATGTCCCATTTTAAGCACTGGTGTCTCGTTTGAGTACCAGTTCCCATGGTGAGGGAACTATAGACAACACAAAACTCGGAGTCACCCAGGTGGATCTTAGACTGGAGATCTCCTCCACCTGTAAGTCAAGTGGTGCCTGTTGCTGGAGCAGAACAGTTGGTGCTCTTCATGTTTGTGAAACATTATGTTTTCTCTTTTGATTCAGCAGTGTTGCGGGAGGGACAAAGATAAGTAACATGGAAAATGCCATGCATCGATTAAACCTTTGGAGTTTCATGCAATAGAAAATGTATGGTATCTACATAGTATTACTCATACAGAAGTTATAGCTTGAACTTTCTTCTGGTCTCTGCAACAAGGTTTTGAATAACCATTTTTTCTGTCTAAATTTCCTACTTCAGATCCTGCCGACATTATGATCTGCAGCCTTCAGCTGGGTAAAGTGCTCATTGATTTTGAGACCACTGCACTGCAGAGTGTACCCTGCACAAGGGCACTGGGCTTCTCAGGAACGGAGTTAATACTGGTAGGTGCCAGGAAATTACTCCAACCAAAATCCCATCTGCTTGGGTGTCCAAGAGCAATTTTTCCCCATGGAAAAAAGGCCAGTCCTTTAGGCTTGATTCCCCACTCAGTTGCTTCCGTGTTACAAACCACACCACTGAGATCCCACAAGAGTAAACTACTGGGAAGCCCTGGCCTTCATTAGCCCTGTGACTTGAGCAGCTTGTCCCACTTTAACCAAATGACAGGAAGCAGACATTAAATGTGTGGACAACCCCTTCATGTGCAGCACATTCATAGCTTTTGTTCTACCATCAGAACTCCTCTCATCTTTGAGGGAAAGAAAAGTTTTGCCTCTGTGTTCCAGGAAAAACAGGGCTGTACTTAATTCCTCCAAGTCAAGGACCCAGCAGAGTCAAGGTCTGAGGTCATATATTGCCTGAATATAAATCAAGTGAGACCATAGATCCATGGCACTGCCTGCACCCCAAGCTCAACTGCCTCTGGGATGGAACGTCAAGTCTGGGTTTTTGTTGGCTCTGTGTTGGTGCAAGGACTTTACTGTTAGAAGTGTGGAGATCATCACAGCCAGACATTTCATGACACTTTGTGACAAAGTGCCCTACTTGCATCTCATGGTTAAGATCTGAGAGGGGACATTAAGGCTGAGCCTTTTGCAATTAGACATCCGTCATTCACTTTCAGAGCACATTCCACAAAGAAAAGACCAAAGTCACTGAGCTTAAAATGTTTTATACTTGACTGGAGTTAGTGGGAGATAAGAGCAGGGAGTTGATTGCATGGATTTTGGAAACACTCTATAGCCAGATTGTGGCATAGGGACCGAGGTGAAACCTCTGATGGGGGACTGATGTGCAGCTGCACATGGAGTAAGGCCCTATGGCAGAAGAGAGGCTGGAAAGCAACATGCTAATGGAATGTGCCCACTGCATGTTGCTTTATCAGCTGTTCACTTGCCTTTTCTGATGGGAGTAAAGTTTCACTCTGCATCAGTGTCCTGGTTGTTTATCATTAGTCCTGTTTTTCCACATGAACGCAGCTTCTCATCCCCTGGTTGAGTTTTCTGTGGGAACTTGGGACTGCAGGGGAGAAAGAAGTGCTTGCTGAGAGAATCGTGTGGATGTAACCAGGTTCATGAGAGAGGCTGGAGTTAGCAGCTGTGGCCATTCTTCTGGAGAAAAAAAACATCATCGTGGTTTTAAAATAGGTCATGTCTCAGGCCCAAATTTGGGGCAAGAGACATGAGGAGCCTTAGCCTTCATCCAGCATGGTTCCACCTGGGCAGGCCACCGAGCATGCTTTCCTGACAGCCCAGCAGGCTGCCCAGCTCATGGAGGGCAGACAGGACCCACAGAGGGTGAGCTGTGTCAGGTGCAGGTGGGCAGGGCAGGGTGTCTCAGAGCAGAACATCACCTCTAACCATTCCCCTGGGACCCTGCCCCACTGGGGGAATTAGGTGTAAGTGTAGTGGCAAAAGTATTGCCACGGGTGATGTGCGTTGTTGGTGCTGTGGGATGACAGTAGTGCTGAACTAGACAGAGTGGCTGACACAAGAAGAGGCAGAGCCTCAACCTAAAGGTACCACCAGAAATGGGAGCACTGGGCTGCTAGAAAGCTTGCAAAGCCCAGCAAAAGAAACATGCCAGTAGTGTGTGGGGTAGGATAATCCTGTGCGTCCATCCCAGCTGGGAAGTGACTGGCAAAGTGGGGCCCTGCTGCAGAGGAGCTGGTGAATGCTGTGGATGAGGCTGAACACGGTCCAGGAGTGACTCTTGCTGCAAATGAGGCACACTCTGTACGGGGTTTCGTGAGGCACATCTTGTCAGGCAAACCTAGGTCTGTGCCAGCACTGCATAAACAGTTAAACACAAACTTGCTGTGCACACTGGCACACATTTAGCTGAAGACATGGAGCCACCAAACAAAGCAACAGAAAACACCACGTGTGATGTAGGCAGCAACAAGCAAGCACCTTCTTGGTGGAAGCTGAGTGGATCCAGCCTGAGCTGGATGGATCA